GCTATGTTGTATATTCCCAATACTCTGATTATTGGTCTCAATAGGATTCTTATGAAATATTTTTTTAAATTTAATTTTTTATATGAATTTTTGCACACTTTACATAAGTTTCAAACTTGTTCAATTTTATTAGTTGGCGCAAACTTGAACCTCTATCCAATGTTTTAATCTCATCACTATTTAATGGTATACCACTTAAATTGTATATACCTTCCCCTAAGGGTCTCTTCTCCTTTTCTTGTTTCCTTTTTTTTTCCTGTTTTTTCCTAAAAAAGGGTTGGGGATAGAGTTGTCCTGTTGTTGTTGTTCTAATGGTGAGTAACTATTGTGAACTGGAACATTGTACATTTGGTTGTATGGTGGGGGGTAATTACAATCCCACACACAATATAGAAAGATCAGAAAGAGGGGAAAAAGAGGAGGAAGAAAAAGGAAACAAGAAAAGGAGAAGAGACCCTTAGGGGAAGGTATATACAATTTAAGTGGTATACCATTAAATAGTGATGAGATTAAAACATTGGATAGAGGTTTGAAGTTTGCGCCAACTAATAAATTGAACAAGTTTGAAACTTATGTAAGTGTGCAAAAATTTATAAGAAAATTAAATTTAAAAAAATATTTCATACAGAATCCTATTGAGACCAATAATCAGAGTATTGGGAATATACAACATAGCACGTTGAAAAATAAATCATTATTCAATCCCAAAAATCAAGACCACCTATATATAAATAATTTTAAGAAAATGGTGATGAAAGATATAGAAGAACTGAAGATCAAAACGTTTAAAGGGGAATCTGATATAAATAGAGGAATAAAGTCTCTGCAAGATAGAAACAACATAGTAGTGAGACCAGCAGACAAGGGGGGGGGGGGGAATAGTGTTATTATCGAAAGAGTCTTATGAAATGTCCATGAGTAAAATGTTAGGGGACACTGACACTTACTGCAAATTAATTAACAACCCCACTAAGATATATAAAACAGAATTAAGTAAACTAACACTATATGGAAAACAAAGAAACATTTTGGATGATAAGGAAGCAAAGTATTTGGTGCCCTCAGTTAGCAAGATACCAGTTCTGTACTCAATACCAAAAATACATAAAAGTTTAGAGGATCCCCCCATGAGACCCATAGTTAATGGTATAGATGGGCTACTATCTAGGATTGGACAGTATATAGATCAATTTCTTCAACCCCTAGTAGAGAAAACAAAAGCGTATATAAAAGACACTACACATGTGATTAATATTGTTCAAACAGTGGAAAAGAATAATATCTAATTCTAAGTACAGCAGACGTCTCTTCACTGTATACTATAATTGACCATGTTGGAGCAATAGAGGCAGCAACTTGGGCCTTGAAAAAATATTCTACTCTCTCTAAGAAACAAATTAAATTTCTGATTAAATGCATCAGATTTTGTCTCAGCCATAACTATTTTTGGTATAGGGGAGAATACTACTTGCAGATAAGGGGAGTTGCCATGGGCGCCCGTTTTGCACCCAGTATTGCCAATCTGTATATGGCAAAATGGGAGGAAGAAGTGGTATTCTCCAATATAAATAGCAATATAGTTGTATATGGCAGATTCATTGATGATATCCTAATATTGTGGAAAGGTGATACACTATCATTGATGGATTATTACCAAAATCTAAATTTGAACATTAAAAATATTGTATTAAGTTGGAACATCAATGAGAAGGAAATACATTTTCTAGATCTCACTTTAGTGAACACGTATGAAGGGATAATAACAAAAAATCATTTCAAAAAAACTGATCGCAATTCATATATTCCGGTCAGCAGCTGCCATTATAGACCATGGATCAAAAATGTACCAAGGGGGCAATTTTACAGGTTGCGACGCAATTGTACTAATATTGAAGATTACAGAGAACAAAGTCAAATACTTGTTCAAAGATTTGTAGACAAGGGTTATAAGAAAGAAACGATATTGGATGAAAGAGGTAAAATAGAACTTATAGACAGAACAACATTGTTAGAGGGGAAGAAGAAACAAAGGTTAGAGAACAGGAATTATATCTATAGTATTACCATATAGTAGACAATATAGAGATGTTCAGAAAATTATAAATAAACATTGGAATATACTCCAACTTGATAAAACCTTGAAGAATATTGTTAAAGAACAACCCAGGTTTATTTATAAAAGAGCACCAAATATCCGTGACCGAGTAGTCAAAAAATGTGTTAGAACCCCCCCAAACTCTGAAAAATACTTTAAGTTTCTTTAGTGGAACTGGGTTTTATAAATGTGGTCGGTGCTACAGTTGTAGAAAAACACATTCAAATCCAAGACATAGAGAGTCATTTACAAATCCAAGGAACGGAAAACAATATAAAATAGATCAATTCATTTCTTGTGACAGTACAGGTGTAGTATATGCCTTAAAATGTCCCTGCAATTATCTATATATATAGGTCGTACAAAGAGAAGTCTGAAAGAACGCATGCAAGAACATGTACACAATATAGATATTGGATTTAAATACCATCATCTATCAGTACATTTCAAAACACACCATAATCAAGATATAGACAAAATAGAATTTTGGGGTATCACTAAACACTATCCACACTGGAGGGGGGATAATTTAGTACGTGAAATAAGTAAAAAAGAATCATTTTGGATTTATGAGTTGGGCAGTTTAGCGCCAGGAGGATTAAATAAAGATTTTGATTTATCATGTTTTATCAGTGATATTTAGATTGGGAAATATACGCTAGATTCACTATTATATATTTAGTCTTATATTGATATATAGAAGTTTGATAGGGTGTGTTGGAGGCATATCGGGGCAGGATCAGTACGTCACTCTGCTCTGATCAGCTTCCACTATGTATTCCCCATACACCTTATTAAACCAGTCTTCAATCAGTGCATAGTTCAGTATTATTGGAGGTCATCATAAGCACATTTATATATTAATATATAAGTTAGTGAATATTTTTCAATCATTATTTTTATTCTTATTTTTATTCTTATTTTTCATTTTTTATATATATATATTATTTTTATTTATTACATTTTTTTTTATTTTTTATATTTTTCATTTTATTTTAATAATTAATTGTCTTGTACCATGGATTAAATTATTGCATTTTTGTAAATTGTAATGTAATTTCATATGTTTTGTATTTTGCTTATATTTGCATATTTCATATAGGGATGTACTCATTTTGTTGGATAAGATTAGATATATCTGTGCTGACTGCGAGGTTGTGATGCTATGTACCCCTCCGGGATGATTACAGTGTTACTGAAATCATATGTAACTATGGATGATAGCGTCCTACTTATCTCCAGGAAAATGGCTGCCCCCATTAGATAGCCAAGAAAATGGCGGAGCCGTGCTTTATAAGCCGGCAATATACGAGTGACGGACCAATCAAATCCCCCTGATGAAGCCACGTGACCAGTGGCGTAACGCGTAGGGGTGGGACTGTTAACGTCACTCGGAGGGAGTCAGTCCGATTGCCGGACCACGAGTACACAGCTCTAGCAGTCAGCGGCAGTCGGGGATCGTATTTGTACTACCACTATCCGCACACATGTGAGTGCCATACCTTAAAGCAAATAAAAGTCAAGCTTTTAAAACGATAAAGCACCATGTCGAGATCTTTTTTGTATGTGGAGAACCGCATGGAGATGATAATATAGAGGAATAGCACCCTCTGGAGAAGAGATTCATTCCACAGCATATGTCGTATACCATGGATATCTTGCAATAGGAGTTCTCAACAAGCAGGTTCCAAAGGAGGTGAACCGCAAGCTTATATAGCCTAATTGCAGGCTTCCTATGAGGTGAGCGCATATCTTCACTTGAGGGAGGATTCACAAGCAGTCACCGATTTAATATTATTGAAGATTTTCCAGCACAAAGTCACTTTTTGGGACATTTATTTTATATATATATAGTATATATATTATATATATTTTCTACATTTTATTTATATTATTTTTTTATATTTGTTTGTTTATCACTGTTCTATGCACATGGTTTATCTGAGTTGATTTAGAAGATTCAGAGTATAAGAATATTAGAATTTATGTTTATTTATACACATCATTCCTAATAATTGCAAAAAATTTTTTGGATAAAGGAATTTTTTGTTAATATGATTTAAGTAATTATATATGGATTGAAGGTTTGAGAGCGCAACACTAAATATATTTTCATTTTTCGTTTAACCACATTGGTAGTTATGTGCTAAGAGGTTTGCGATCCAACATTAGAAATTTTTGTCTGCCTTCTGGCTCGCAAGATTTTTTAAATATTTGAGATGATTTTGGTACATTGTTTTGACATCTAAAAACATTATTTTATGCCTTTATCCTTTATCTTTTCTCCCCTTATGCACCAATATTCCTTCCCTCACCCTAATCCTTCCCACATTACCATCTGCTTCTTTGTCATGTAACCAACTAATCAAGTTTGGTGACCTTGGATACAATATTTAGTTTTTTTTATGCATATATGTAGATATTCCACTAATGTCCCTTTGATGTTCTGTATTTGCAATTATGCTATTGTACATGATAAATATACCATTGTAACCCTGAAAGATAAAATAAAAAACACATTGAACTAAAAAAAAAATAATACATAAACAGACTTACTATAGAGCATGGCAGATATGAAGACAGGGAATCAACTGCTCAATTCCAGTGTCACCAACAGAATTGTGGTCCAATTGTATACCAACTGGGTTTTTTTAAATGCTTTAGTACATAGGACAATGCTGTGCATTCAGCAGGACCAATGCCACAATAGGTCATTTTCAGATGATCAACTGCAAGACCCTGTACAGCTCTCTCAGCCAAAGTGATGTCCTGCATTTCATAAAGGCACTTTATAAGCCAGACAAACTCGGGCATGGCATGCATGGCTTTTTTCTCATATGGCAGCGCTGGTGATATTGACTTGAAGTGTTTTTGGATTGCTTTAGCCAAACATTTTTTAACGGTTTTACATTTTTTGGTCAGTTTTTTCAGGTTTCCATGAGTCAACTAACAAACTGTTCAGTACAGCTGAAAAAAGCCCAGCTACAAATGTTGCTGTAATTTGAAGATTTCTAATCTCTATGTATTGTAACTTCATTTTAGTTTGTCTTTGAAAAACAGGTTGTACACATGGCATAGGAAGTCTTTCAACAAGCGAGTTCCTTGTTTCCCTTTTATTCCACTTAAATAGTTGGTATAATATAGAGGAGTCCATATCATCACTCATTACAATGTACAGAGCAGCAAAGAAGCATTGAAATGTGATATGAAGGAACTCGTAGTAGTGCAAAGAAGTTTGTCCTTCATCTAAAAGGTTTTTGGAAATAACAAGAAAACCTAAAGAGAGATCATCTTCTGTTATTCCTGCTTTGGTAATCTCTTGGGGAGAAAACACATACATAGCTTTGTGAAGACCAATGAGCGCTATCATACCAAGGTGTTTGACAGAGTTAGTTCTTTCTGAAAGAATATTTTGTGTTCGCTTTAAGTTTGTTGAAGCATGTAAGAGAAAGTGTTTTAGAGTCAGCATGTACATATCGGTCATAGTCTGGGGAGTTTTGTAGTCATAGTTTATAAGTTCCTTATGACACTTTGAAATAATCCAACAGAAGACTGGAATATGGCACAGTCCAGTAAGGGACGAGCTGTTTTTTACCAAGCTAATGATACCTCTGGATATGTCAGGGTTGTCATGATGTTTCCTTATAAATGTCTCAATGCCTTCTTCTGAAAATCCCCTCAAGTTGATTTCTTTCTTGATGTATTTCCTTAATGGCATAGTGACAGCATCAGGCCTGCTTGTAACAATTTTCATGCAGTCCTTCATTAGGTTTCCTTCAATAAGGTTAAAAACAATGCTTGCAATACTTGCAGGTTCTATGGGAGAACAGTGCCTATTCTCCTCTGTGAAAGAAAATTTTAACTCATCAAATCCATCAAATGTTATAAGGACTTGACTGGGATGATCTATGATGAATTGAAATATATCTTCCTGGTGTCGATCAGGCCAGCAACATTGTTCAAAAAGAAGAGCTTTTAGACAAATCGGCTTTGTAATACAACACAACCTTCTACAACTAAAGGGGAAAATGAAGCAAAACTTTTGGAAAGCTTGTCCACGTGCCCAGAGATGTTGAATGTGTTGAAGCAATGTGCTTTTGCCACTGCCTGCATCTCCAAGAATTATTATGGTATCAGCATTTTCATTTATAATTCCCTGATCACTAAAAATGTTATGAAGGCCCAGGGTGCTCTGAAAGCCATTGCCATGATCTGACATGTGTTTAGTTCTTGACAGTTCCAAGACACTTTCTGTATAGACATCCTCTAGACACATGTTTTCTGTCCCATCGTAGGTGCTAAGAAACCTTGTTTGAGCACTTATGGTGTTCTTCAATTTTTTATGAAATGTCAGACAATCTAAAAGAGATACAATTAAAAAAATAAACTACAAGGTTTGCGAAAAATGTGTTTTCAATTATTTCTAAAATGTAGTTGCTACTAGCAGTTGGTCACATTCAACTGTCACATTGTTTTTCTAAGATGCTAAAAGATTATTTTAAATTGTCCACTGTACGCCATTGCTTTCTGCACTGCCATAAATGTTATTTGTTCCACTGTAAAGTAAATACAACTGTTTAGTTTCTCCCCTAGAAAAAAAGTAATTTTCTATTTACCTGAAGTTGGGATCTAACCTGAAGAAGTTTATTTGGGTATAGTTTAATATAGTTTCATTGTATACCAACATTTACAATGTTACTAAGTAAGGCCAAATTATGTTAAAAAGTAGATAAAGTTTTGTACTTATTTTTTACTTAGCAATGTAGTTTGACATTTCAGTGAAGTAGTATTTCCCTGCCCGATATATCACTCTTTGAATAAATCAAGATGTACGTAATGTCTCTGCAACAGATTTCCTAAAGTAAAAAAATCAAAAATGATTGCATAAGGGTCAAATGCCAACTTAGTCAGAATATTTCTTCATATTTGAACTCCCAGAAAAGTAGAGAGCAAACTGAAAGCTCTAACTTCTATTTGTGTAAAGTTTTTAAAAGCTGTGCTGCAGCACAGTGCACCAAAAGGACATGGGAGCTACCAGCAGTTGACTAGAGGATAATGTCACCAGGATAAAGTAGGATCCAATTCACTGCTAATCGTTAGGGTTCCTCCGCAAAGGGATCAGGTATGACAAAAAATAAGCCCAACTTATCCCAAAGTTTTATTTTGTTTTTCATTGGATGGGCAAGGGATAGAACTCCCGCCAGGTTTTGAATGATACTAGTGTCCATACTGAGGATATTTCTTTTGTCATCCTAATCTTTGACACCTGTTACCAGAACAGAAAGTGAGGAGAACACAGACAAAAGTAACATCCTCATGTACAAAGTCCAATGAGAACACTAATCAAAAGGTTTGAGACTCCAAAAGCTCCAAAAGAAGACAACATAGAACAGCCAGTACTCTTTTCAGACCTCAGACCTCTTCTTTCTTCAGGGCGTAAGAGTGATGGATTAATATGGGCACTTAGTGGTGGCACAATCACCAGGAACTAATTGTTTGCTGTATATAAATTGGACACAACTGGGATCAGTGTATCAAAGAATCAGGTCTTGCCAAATAAAAAGGCTAATAGCAAGAAATTAAAGTAGCTAAGTCCATTAGGGGAATAAATTAAAAGTATGAAAGCAGAATTGGTTAAAAATAATAATAATAATAATAAAAAAAAACAACTTTATTTTATATAGCGCCTTTAAAGATAGCTTCTCAAAGCACTTTACAAAGACAAGAAAAACAAAAACACAGGATAAAACCAGGGGCGGACTGACAACTTATGGGGACCCCCGGGCAATAGGGGATCATGGGGCCCCTGTGTCCTTGCCCAAACTCAAAAAAGCCTATGAAAAAGGTACCAGGGGCATCTCATGGGGCCCCCTACTGACCCCGGGCCCTCGGGCAGTGCCCGAGTTTCCAAATGGTCAGTCCGCCCCTGGATAAAACAAAGGAAATTCGTTTTTAGATTTGATTTGAATGAGTTTAGAGAAGATGACTCTATGATGTTCTTTGGAAGCGAATTTCAGAGTTCTGGGCCGTAGCAGGAGAAAGCTCTGTGTCCATCGAGTGTAGGTGAATGGGGGAAACACAGAAGACCAGAATTCAAGGAGCAGAGGTTACAAGCGGGGGGGTTAAGGTCTAGTACACACAATGAAAACATGAGACGAAAAAAACCACAGTCGGAGTGATCATCCGATAATCTATTTGTCAGTACACAGCTTTCAAGTGCCGATTACGACAGTTAATGCGAAAATACTTGAAGGGACAAGCACAAACATTTTTATTGTAAGATAATCAAAGTAAGATTAATCAGTACAGTATAAGTCTGTAAAAATTGGGTGACCAAGACGCACATGATTGAAAACATGAAAACTAACCGGAAGAAAAAAAATGTCAAAGAAAACAATCTTCGTATACAGCAAAAAAGCTCCTAAATACAAAAACATACTGTTTTAAGGATAGAAATATGATAATAGCAATAATGGAGTGATAATCTTATTGCTACAATTTGGTAATTATCTGCAGAGGGGTCATACATACATGACCTCACTTCCAATTACATGCTGTTACATTGCTACACACATGGGAACATATACTAGATCATACGAGAACTTTCGTATGCTTAGTAGCACTCTCGTATTCATTATGAGAGTAGCTTGCAAAAACCCATATGCAATCATTCATCCAATTTTCACATCATGTGTACTAGGCTTATGTTAATAAAAGTTCAGAGAGATACTGGAGTACCAAGTCATGAAGAGCATTATAGGTGAGAAAGAGGATCTTAAAGTACATGCGAAATCTGACTAATAGCCAGTGCAAGAACTCCAGAATAGGGGTAATATGATCACTTGTACCAGGCCTAGTCAGGATTCTGGCTGCAGAATTTTGTACATATTCTAGTCGATTAATAGTGAATTTAGGTCAACCAGCGAGTGGAGCATTGCAGTAGTCAAGTTGAGAGAACACAAATGTATGGATCAGCTACAGTGTATAGCATAGGACGTTATTACAAAACCGGTACTAAGGGAGTCATTTATTATATTGAGAATAATGGGGCATGGAGAAGTAAAACAAGATTTAAATAAATTGGTGTGAATAGGATCAAGTATGCAGGTGGAAGATTTTATATTAGAGACCAATTTAATCAGAGATGCAAAGTTAAACAAAGAGAATTGGAAGAAAGAAGAACTAGTAAAACAAGGGGGAGTCTGGAAGTGATGTGGAAAAAACGTGTTCTGTGGTAAGAGTGTGATCACAATTGATTTTGTCAATTTTTGAGGAGAAAAAACTATAATTATGTGTTATAAAGCTGTGTTGAGGCTGGTAATGTGGACGGACAACAAGGTTTTAATAATCTATCAATGCTGCAGAACAGTTGTCTAGATTTGTTAATTTTTTTTTTCAATGGCATGGGAGAAATAATTGGATCTAGCAGTCTCTATTTGTCCCTTAGATGCAGGGGCGGACTGATCATTTGGAAACTTGGGCACTGCCCGAGGGCCTGGGGTCAGTAGGGGGGTCAGCTTCCAAGTTTTATTGTCAAAGCTTAATTGAATAAGCTGAAACTGATTGGCTACCATGCACAGCTGCACCAGATTCTTTGTGCACAAGTTTTAGTAAATCTCCCCTTATAGTCACACAAATGGTCCTTCCAAACCTGATAACGAACAGTCAGGCCAGAACGGTGCTACCTACGCTCAAGTCTCAGTGAGACTGCCTTCATTGATCCCAGGGCATTATTCCAAGACAATAAAATGAGATGGTTTGAGTTTTTAACCGCTCCCGGACCGTCCTATAGTAGAACTACTGCTACAGGGCAGCAGGGCTGTGCAAAATCACATATACAGTTGCAAGAAAAAGTATGTGAACCCCTTGGGATTCCGTGGAGTTTTGCATGAATTGGGCATAAAATGTGCTCTGAACGTCATCTAAGTCACAACAATAGAAGAACACAGTCTGCTGAACATAATACTACACAAACATTAGATGTTGCCATGATTTAATTGCACATAACATGTAAACATTCACAGTGCAGGAAGGAAAAAGTATGTGAACCTTTGGACTTAATAACTGGTTGACCCTCCTTTGGCAGCAATAACCTCAACCAAACGTTTCCTGTAGTTGCAGATCAGACCTGCACAACGATCTGGAGTCATTTTGGATCACTCCTCTTCACAAAACTTTTTCAGTGTAGCAATATTCTTGGGATGTCTGGTGTGAATCGCTCTCTTAAGGTCATGCCACAGCGTTTCAATTGGGTTGAGGTCAGGACTCTGACTGGGCCACTCCAGAAGGCGTATTCTGTGCTGTTGCAGCCATTGTTTTGTTGAATGACTTGTATGCTTTGGGTCATTGTCCTGTTGCATCACCCATCCTCTGCGGAGCTTCAGTTGGCAGACAGATGGTCATACGTTTTCCTGCAAAATGTCTTGATAAACTCTGGAATTCATTTTCCCATCAATGACAACAATCCGTCCAGGTCCTGAGGCAGCAAAGCAGCCCCAAACCATGATGCTCCCTCCGCCATGTTTCACAGTGGGGATGAGGTTTTGATGTTGGTGTGCTGTGCCTTTTTTTCTCCACACATAGTGTTGTGTGTTCTTCCCAAACAACTCAATCTTGGTTTCATCTGTCCACAGTATATTTTGCCAGTAGTGCTGTGGAACATCCAGGTGCTCTTTTGCAAACTTCAAACGTGCTGCAATCTTCTTTTTGGCCAGCAATGGCTTCCTCCGTGGTGTCCTCCCATGTACTCCATTCTTGTTTAATGTTTTCCTTATTGTAGATGTGTCAACAAAAATGTTAGCATGTGCCAGAGATTTCTGTAGGTCTTTAGCTGACACTCCGGGATTCTTCTTTACCTCCTGCAGCATTCTGCGCTGTGCTCTTGCAGTCATTTTTTACAGGACGACCATGCCTAGGGAGAGTAGCAACAGTGCTAAACTTTCTCCATTTGTAGACAGTCTGTCTGATCGTGGACACATGAACATCAAGGCTTTTGGAGATACTTTTGTAACCCTTTCCAGCTTCTTGCAAGTCAACAATTCTTGATCGTAGGTCTTCTGAGAGCTCTTTTCTGCGAGGCATGGTTCACATCAGACAGTGCTTCTTGAAACCGGTAAACCCAAAACAGGTGTGTGTTTTTTAAGGGCAGGACAGCTGTCAGCAACACATCCAATATCATCACACTGATTGGAGTCAAGGTTGGCTCACTCTTGGCTCCAATTAGCTCTGGGAGAAGTCATTAAGCTAGGGCCTCACATACTTTTTCCTCCCTGCACTGTGAATGTTTACATGTTATGTGCAATTAAACCATGGCAACATCTAATGTTTGTGTAGTATTATGTTCAGCAGACTGTGTTCTT